TGCTATAGACTTGGGTGAAATAACTCTTCTTCTTTGTGACCTTCGATTTTTACACTCTTTGAAATTTTCTCAATCTCTATGCTGTAATGCCCTTTCTAATTTTAGTTGTGTTAGAATAGTAATCCAACACCAGCGCAATGCATCATGATAGGCCACTGGTCAAGAAGAGACCCATTAAGGAAAGGCCATACAAAGGAGCTCACTACCCACACTATGATAAGTAGACTAATACAAATTTGATACTTGCCACGAGTGTTATAAATAAAAATTATAAATATTTTTTTAATTTATTATTTCTTAAATAATTACATTTTAATTGAGAGTTTTTTTCTTTAAAAATTATAAGTTATTTATTTAAGTATTAGAGTGTCCTTTTTTAAAACAAATTCTCAAATTTTACAGGGATTCGAGTCGGACCGAACCCCAATCCAGATTGCAACCCGACTAGAGTATTTTCTGTTTCAACAAGTTGGCTGCGGATTCATCTCGTCTAGAACTTTGTTATAGTTTGAGAGTTGGTTTTACATACCTATTATGGGGAGAGTTGGCGGTGTGAGAATGCAAAATAAAAAGACCAGTGAGACAATGGGTCAACGGGTTCCAGAGACAGAAAATTCAAGTCACAAAGATGATGAACGAAAATTTAAGACAGAAGCTATTGAGGTGGGACCGACTAAAGTAGACAGATGAGATATGATGGAGAGAAACATATTTGTTGAGGAGTACGCAGGTGTTGTCTGAACAATGCAGGCAACATAAACTGCACTAGAATTTTCTTAACAAAAACTTATTTTAACCTTTTACTTTAATAAATTTATAGGTTTTAACCTCTCACCTTATACTATAACACTTTTAATGTTTCATTTATACAAATTGAAGAAAATAACATTTACTTAACGTTAAGTTATAACGTTTTGTTAGTTCTGTTTATTGATTATTAGTTCTGTTAATTGATTATTAATTCTATTAATTAATTATTAATTATGTTAGCTAATTATTAAATCTATTAACTGATTGTTAGTATTCTGTTAATAGAACTAATAAATAAAATTGAATTTAAATTTTATGTTTTCTATAATGGAATGCTAACAGTTAGCTAACAGAGCTAACAGTCAACTAACAGGATATTAAATAAGGGTTATTTTCTTCAATACTTATAGATGAAAAGTTAAAAATGTCATAGTATAAGGTGATGGGTTAAAACCTATAAATTTATTAAGGTAAAAAGCTAACAAAACTAACAATTAGCTAATAGAGTTAACAGTTAGCTAATAGAACTAACAGTCAGTTAACAGAATTAACAGTCAGTTAGCTAACAGAACTAACAGTTAACTAACATGATATTAAATGAGGGTTATTTTCTTCAATTCTTAGATGTGAGAAGCTAAAAATGTCATAGTATAAAATGAGAGACTAAAACCTATAAAGTTATTAAGGTAAAGGGCTAAAGGTAAGTTTATGCCTAACTTTCTTTAGTTTATCCAAACAATAACAATAAGATGATAAAACTTTAATATGAAAATTTACGATTATTAATATGATATAAATTATATTATTAAATTAATTGATATATATGATATCATAAACTTTAAAAAAATAAAAAAAACTTAATCAGTAAATAATATAAGATTTATTTTTAATATTTTAAATAATATAATTTATATTATGTTATTAATTCTAAATTTTGATTTCAATATTTATCATTATTTTTGTAATATCCCAAAATTTTGGGAATTTTATCAATTAAGTTAGGGGACTTATTTTGGGAGAAAGATTGTTTTGGGACCTAATAGCTAAAAATTCCAAAGTTGAGGGACTAAAAAAAAGAAAGGAAATGAGATAAGGATCAGCTTCTTTTCTTTTTCTCTATTTCTTTCTTTCTTTTCTTCCTCATCAGCCGCGTGTTTCTGCTTCTCTTCTTCTTCCCCGACAAGCCCCCCCCAAGCTGCCAATAGTCCCCCTTTGAAAAATTGGCAAAAAGCTTGGAATTTTCTCCTTCTTTCTTGTTCAATCACAAGATTTGGGGCTTAGAATTCTCTCTCTCAACCCAGAAATTCCGGATCTGTTCTGCTCTTCCTTCCCTTGTCCGCGAGCTGCTCTTGCCGGTGGAGAGCTTCTCGGTTTTTCTGGTAAGGGAACAACTAGGAAATCATCCCTTTAGCCTTAATTCAAGTTGGGTTCACTCTAATTTTGGTTTTTGGTTCTTGAATTTGGTAGCCCGTGAGCTTTCCCTCCAACTCCCGCCGGCTGCCAAGCTCGCCAGACCCGGTTTGCTGGCCGAAAATTTGGGTAGGTAGCAGCTCTCCCAGTCTGGATTTTTAGTCCATCAAGTGCTGCCCTGTGCTTGCCCGAATTTTGCTAAAATGGGGAAGGAATTTTGGTAGCATTTAGCAGCAATTTAAATGTGTTTTTGTGCTTGGTTTATGTAGAATTAGCTTAATTTGGCAGCTGTGAATTTTATAGAGAAAATCCCGTGTGTTTTAGCCACTGTTTCGCCAATTTTGAAAGTTGAAGTTACTGTTCACTGGTACTGTTTACAAGCACTGTTCACACACCGGGGGTCAACCATTAACGGGGATTTAAATGTTTAGTTTGTAATATAAGAACAAATTTAGAGATGTTTGATCATGTGGAGATTGATAGAAATAACACCGTGATTAGGGGTAGTGCTAAAGATGATTTCACTGTGAATTTGTGGTAATGCGGTATTAATTATGGAATATTTTGATTAGGTTGCTGATCGTTTTGTCAGTTTAGCATTGAGATCGAGTCTTCAGTTTTATGCGAGTGAGGTAAGTAAATTATGGTAATACCCTTCGATTTCAAAGCATGTTTTAAATTGTTTTTGAGATGGTGGCAAGGTTTAAATTGATTTTAAATTGATTTTATTAGCATTTGAGTGTGATTAAACTGAAATGAAAATTTTGATGATTTTTATGAAAATTATTATTTTCTGGAATTGAGCATGATTGGAATGAAAATGAGAATTTCATTGTTTTTCTGGAGTAGAGCATGCCTATTTGGAGTTGACTAAACTGCTTTGATGAACTGAGAATTTTGTAAGTTTTGAATTTTCTGTTAAATCCATGCCCACATGGAATTTTCTGGTTATTTATGAAATTTGAGATTAATTGTGAATTTTGGGTTTTTCTGTAAATTCTGCATGGTTTTATCTCTGATATGGTCATGTTTACTGTGCCCGCTAGTGGGAGATTTATAAACGCTAGCACATGTCGACATGTTTACTGATATGACCGGTCCATTCTGTAATCCTGCCAATGGGATAATACATTGGTAATTATTGACGCTTGTCAGTGGGAGTTTGTTAAACACTAGTACTTTTGTAACCCTGCCAATGGGGTTAAACATTGGTTATTACTGACGCATGCCAGTGGGAGTTGTTAAACACTGGTACTACTACTGTGCTTGCCAGTGGGAGGTTTATAAACGCTGGCCATGACCTATAGATGAGACTAGTACTAAATTTTCTTTTGCATAAACGGTTTGTCATTGAAAGTTTTGCTATTGAACTAAATTTGATTCTGCATTAATGGTTTATCATTGAACGTTTTGTTATGTTAAATTGTTTATTAGGTATGCTAAAAGTTTTACTCAAGGGCTATCCATATTTACTTACTGAGTTATCTCATAGTTTTCCTTGTCCACCATTTCAGGAAACGAAACCGAGGTTGGGGAAACCGAGGGGAGTGACGAGATAGAAGGCTAGCCATTCTAATTGGATATAAGTTTTAGATTTTATCATCCTTTTGTAAGGTAGATTTTATTCTTGAGATTTTGTGTATGAATAAATTTTGAGCCTTATGCACTTGTGGGACCTATCTCACGAATGCACGGCGTCTGTCACATCCCCAAATTTGAGTTCTGGGGCGTGACAATTTTTATCTAAAACTATTAAGAGAAAACTACATCGAGCTCAAATTATATCATATCTATAGTTATAAT